GAAAGTTGTTTTGAGTTCCATATATTCTTCAATTGTAGGAATGCGACCCTTGCTTTGTCAATACTTGCCTTTACGTCTGCATCTGATCCTCCCTGTTCATCGATGATGCTTCCTAGATATGTGAAGGATTCTACAGCTTCCAGAGTTTTGTCACCAAGAGTGATTGGATTGTTGTTTTCCGCTTTAAATTTGAGGACTTTGGTTTTCCCTTTGTGTATGCTGAGGCCTACTGATGCAGAGACTGCTGCTACACTGACTGTCTTTATCTGCATTTGTTCGTGTGTGTGCGATAGGAGGGCTAGGTCATCTGCGAAGTCCAAATTGTCCAGTTGGTTCTGAGCTGTCCATTGTATTCCGTGTTTTCGCTCAGATGTCGAGGTCTTCATAATCCAGTCGACCACCAGAAGAAAGAGGAAGGGAGAGAGTAAACAGCCTTGTCTGACTCCGGTTCTTACTTGGAATGCATCTGTCAGCTGTCCTCCATGCACGACTTTGCATTGTAGTCCGTCGTATGAGTTCCGGATAATGTTGACAATCTTCTCAGGAACTCCGTAGTGTCGAAGAAGTTTCCATAATGTCCTCCTATCTACACTGTCGAATGCCTTTTCATAATCAATGAAGTTGATGTATAGTGATGAGTTCCACTCAACTGATTGTTCGACGATGATCCGTAGTGTTGCAATTTGGTCTGTGCATGATTGATCCTTACGGAATCCAGCTTGTTGATCTCGAAGTTGGGCGTCTACTGCATCTTTCATCCGGTTCAGCAACACTCTGTTGAAGACCTTCCCTGGTATTGACAGCAGTGTAATGCCTCTATAGTTTTCACATTTGCTCAGATCTCCTTTCTTTGGAATCTTGACGAGGTGCCCTTCTTTCCAGTCCATCGGCACTTGTTCCTCTTCCCAAATCTTTTTGAATAGAAGGTAAGGCATGCTTGCTGTTATTTCGATGTCTGACTTCAGTGGTTCAGCTGGTATGTTGTCCGGACCCGCTGCTTTCCCGTTCTTGATTTGTCTGATGGCCATTCTGATTTCTTCCTTCGTTGGTGGGTTGACGTCTTTGGGAAGATCTGTGTGTGCCGCTTCGATGTCCGGTGGATTCATTGGAGCCGGCCTATTCAGGAGTTCCTCAAAGTATTCTACCCATCTGTTCCGCTGTTGTTGAATTTCTGTGATTGGCTTGCCTTCTTTGTCTTTGACCGGTCTCTCTGGTTTACTGTATTTCCCTGATAGTTTCTTCGTTGTATCGTAAAGCTGTTTCATATTTCCTTCTCTAGCAGCTTTTTCTGCCGTCGTTGCTAGTTCTTCCACGTATTTCTTCTTGTCGGCTCTAATACTCCTCTTCACTTGTTTGTTTGCTTCTATGTATTCAGCTTGTGCTTGGACTTTCTCTGCTCGTGTTCGGCTGTTGTTTATTGCTGTCTTCTTGTTCTTCCTCTCTTTGATCTTGTCCAGTGTTTCTGTAGAGATCCACTCCTTATGATGGTATTTCTTTAGACCCTGAACCTCTTGACACGTTAAAGTTAATGCTTTCTTGATGCCTTTCCAGTTGTCCTCCATACTAGTTTCTTCTTCCTTCCGTAGATCTTGTAAGGCTTGGAACCTGTTGTTGAGAGCAATCTTGAATTCATTGAGTTTGTCAGTATCTCGAAGGAAGGCTGTATTGAACTTTTGTAGTGCTGTTTGTCCACTTGTCCAGTTCTTTTTTAGCTTCAGTTTTAAATTGGCCACAACTAGGTGGTGATCTGAAGCTACGTCAGCGCCTCTCCTGGTTCTCACATCTTCCATTGTCCTTCGGAATTTTTTGTTGATGCAAATATGATCTATTTGGTTCTCTGTAGTGTGGTCCGGTGAGATCCATGTAGCCTTGTGTATACGCTTGTGTGGAAATATTGTGCCTCCTATGACCAATTTGTTGAATGCACATAGATTTGCAAATCTTTCTCCATTTTCGTTTCTTTCTCCCAGTCCATGTCGTCCCATAATATCTTCATATCCAGTGTTATCTATTCCGACTTTGGCATTTAGATCTCCCATCAGAATAGTTAGGTCCTTTCTTGGGCATTTCTCAATTACTGACTGCAGCCGCTCGTAGAACTGATCTTTAATGTCGTCGTTGCTATCATTTGTGGGTGCATAACATTGGATAATATTCATTGTGATCCCCTCCTTCTTTGTCTTGAATGATGCTTTGATGATTCTGGATCCGTGAGATTCCCATCCTACAAGTGCATTTCGTGCTACTTTGGACAGCATAAGAGCGACTCCCTGAGTGTGTGGAGCATTGTCCTCTTCGTGACCGGAGTATAGCAGCATCTCTCCAGTAGCTAGCCTTTTCTGTCCAGCTTGGGTCCAGTGGGTTTCGCTGATTCCCAGTACTGCTAAGTTGTATCTTCTCATTTCCATTGCTATTTGACTGGTCTTCCCGGTTTCCCACATTGTTCGAACGTTCCATGTACCTATAAAAATTTTTGCTCTGGTTGTTAGAAGGGGCATCGGCCTCGTGGCTTCCGAAGGAACTCGGCTTTCACCATGAAGCGTCATAATTCTTCTAAATGAAGACCTTCTAACTCTCAGGGCAGAGTTTAAATGGTTTGGATTATTTTTTCTGGTAAGCGTTTTTTTAGCGAGTTAGTTTTCTACGGGATGGGGACGCTAACCTCATGCCCAACCCTCCTCCTTTACCCGGGCTTGGGACCGGCAGTAACCCTATGAGAGCTACAGGCGGAGTTAACTGTATTGTTACCTAATACATTTTTTCTAGTTTCATAATTCATAGAATAACATCTAGTGGACGATTAAAATATCTGTGTAATTATTGTTTGGTGCTCAAACGTAGCACATAAACTAAATTATTATTAATTTTGGATTAAAAAGCACTTTATACACATTTTGCATAACGGTAATGAACTATAAATTGTAAGATTTTATATTTTAGTGAGCCTGGTTCTTGAAAATATATGTTTGTTAATAAATGATTATTGACTCATGATAAGATACCGTTGATTCGTTGTGTAAATATTAACAAAATTTATCTGGGATCTTGATGAATATCATGTTTCTTCTTGGATAAGCCCTTTTAGATTAAGGACGTTTCATTATATAGACTTCAAATAAACGATAGCAGTTATACGTCAAGGTTGAATATCTTCAGAATTACAAACCAGTATTTTGTCCTATTAATCCAACTCACTCTAAACAATTCTTGGTGATAACTTATAAGACGCTGTTCTTTCATAAAATCAATACAAACCTTTTTACTAAGAAAGAGCAAAAAGAAAGGCCTGGCTTTGAGCAAAACATCCCTGTACATACGCTTACAGTTTAGAGGTGATGCACTCAGTGAAATTGGCATAGTAAAGTTGCACAGAGTAATCCAAAGAAACTTTAATGAAAGTAAACTACAATCAATGTTTTCTACACGTCCGGTGGTCACTCTAAGATTGAAAGATAAATTACCTAAACTGGTCACCTCTTTCTGTATTTATCAGTTCAACTAATCTTACAGGGTAAGCGATATTGGGAAGTGTTCTAGGGATTCGTATTTTCGTGCTTGCGAGCACTCCTATAGTGTAGTTAAGACTGTTAACACCTTAATTTTAACTCATTTGGTACTAACGCGTCGTAAAGCTAACATGAAGCAATTATTTACAATAATATATAGTGTTAAAAGCTATCTGCCAAAATCCGTCAGACGGTTGAAGTAATAGCTATTCGGATCAAAAAGCTAAAGCTTTCCATTCAGAGGAAATTTTTCCAGCCGTTCCTTTTACCTAAACCAAATTCTGGCCTAGTTAATTAGACGAAGCGACCATTCAATACCTCCAACTATTCAATAGCGGTCAAGCTTAATTAGACTAGTGACTTCAACTATGAAGACGTTGCAATCTCCACAAACCCCACAGTTATCAATCATTTTGATGATATTGTGACGTTCTTCGATAAATGTTCATACAACCATCCTCTTTACATTTTCATAACTTCAACTTATACACACATCTTATCACCGTCATTATTATTATTAAAACCTTTGCAAACGCTTTGAGAAATTTATTCGGCATCCACTCCTATATAGTAATTCATGTCTAATTCGTATTATCCTACATATTGAGTAATTTTTGATTTGTAATTATATTATTCTCTCTCTCATCCCATGTTGATCATATTTATTCTGATCATTTATCTCACAGTTTCATTCCACTTTTAAACTGACTCAAGTTAACACTCTCACAACATCAACCATTTGATTGTTGAGTTCATTAGTCAATCAACGCTAGACTACCATGGAAAACCTGGAAGCAGTGAATGGACGTTTCATTCGAGTATGGGACTCCTCAGCAGTGCTCACCCACAATCCCGCTCACCGGATTCGAACCCAGGACCTTCGGTCCTCTAAACCACTGAGCTGGTCGGCATCCAACGGTGTTGATGTCTAACTTTAACCAATCTACGATTTGATCTTATATGACAAACAGTCATTGATTCACATGTTACACTTTTAAATGATGTACTCTGTCTTGAACTTGGCTATTTCTATGAATTACTAATTTGGATATATAATTGTAGAACGTGATGAGAAATTATTGAAAAAAATATTATTCGTTCATATAATTGTGTTTTAATATGCTGATAATTTTTCTACCTTACAAAGCTAATTCTTGATAATAATAATAATCATAAGTTAGACATTAACACCGCTGATTGCCGACCAGCTCAGAGGTATGATGGTTGTGCGCACGCGTGCGGGACTGATAGATCCTAGGTTCGAGTCTCGCAAGGCGGGATCGTGGATGTGCACTGCCAAAAAGTGCCAGAATATGACGAAACAGCTATCCAGTGTTTCCAGGTTTTCCATGGTAGTGGTCTAGCTTCAATTGACTCATGATCTCAACCATTGAAATAATAATAACAATCGGCATTTTTATCGTTTCATAAATTGTGTTCTACCTGACTTATAACCAATCATATATTCTTATTTTTCTCCATATTTTAATTTAGCACAAATCCTCTCGATTATACTCACCAATGTTTTTGTCAAGTTCAGAATATGATTCAAATGATTTATTGAATTCAAATCGTAAACCATCTACTTTATCATCATCAACTTCACCAACGACAATGCCAACATCTTCATCATCATCATCACTATCATCTTCTATACGTTTTCGCGGTAATAAATTTGGACGTCTTAAAACAAAATGTTTAAACCTCAATAGATATCAACAAAATTATTCATTATCTAATAATCGTTTACATTTATGTAATAAACCAAATCATTTCAATTCAATAATGACAACATCCGCATTGAAAGCTATTCGTAGATCAACAATAAATCTTCCTAATACTCATTGGCCAAATTTGTCTTTAGGATCACAAATTACAACAACAACACCACCACCATCATCATCATCATCGCCATCATTTACATCAATAATAGATCAAAAATTAAAGTCGAATTTCTTAACTGATCTACAATTTCCTGAAACCAATATAAACAATACTAATGGATTATTGTCTTCTTCTGCATCAAACTTACGTGGGAATCATCATCAACATAATCATAATAATCCTAACAATACGAGTAATAATTTAATTGATCGTCCAGTAGTTGTATTAAATCCTGATGAACCACGTGAAATATTTATTGGTGGTGTACAATCTGTTGCATTACCATTATGGGCATATTGTAAATGTTTAACAATGGTACGTGGTGAACCACATGAATTAGGACCACGTTTATGTTTACGTTTATTGCAAAGTTTATTTAGTTTACATTATTTAGTTACACATAATTATAATGGTTCCGGTGGTAAAGCACCTATTGATCCAATTGTAATGAGTGCTGTATTACGTCAAGCACAATTACAATTTGGTTCAGGTTATTTTTTTACTGAACCAATGGCTTTAGGTAAATTAAGAGATTATTTAAATAATGCTTTTCGTGTAATGGCATTTAGACAACGTAAAGGTGAACGTGTAAGATCACCATTTTGGAATGAAAAAGGTGAACCAATACATGATTTAGAAGCACCGGTGGAATTTTCAAATATTACTGATATTATTGTTATACCACATTCAATTAATAATAATAATACTACTACTACACCTAATACTAACACTACCACTGTTATCACAGCTACACCAACCTTATCAACAACTACAACAATATCAAATGAATCTGATATGAATATGAATTCACGATGAACAATGATTAAAGAAAATATATATATGGATTAATCTTTAAAAATCTTTACTTTGATCCATTTCATTCTTTCATAAAATGATTCTATCAAACTATGAGTAGTATGTATATTTGTTTACTTCAATGAAACCATTCAATAATATACAATGTTAATTACATTGTTTAATAAATAATTTAAAATAACCAATCAAGGGGGTGGAGGGTAGGATTAAACAAATTCAATTGAAATGTACTCTTTATTGTTACTAATGAAATAATGTTCAACGATTGTAATTAATTCATTCATTTTATAATCTAATACTTATATTCATTTAATAAAATAAAGAAAATGAAGGGATATTCAAAAGATCATTATGATGAATGAGAGAAAACGAGAGATTCTATCACTTGTATGTAAATTACAAATACATGGGGTATTATGTATACATAATAATAATAATAATAATAATAATAATAATAATAATAATAATAATAATAATTTAATCATACTATCATAGTTACTTAGCTTCATACTATTTTGTTTTGATTTTTAAGTATAATAAAACGGAACCGATTAAGTTTATACAACTAATTTAGTCTTGTGTTCATGTTGACTTGTAACTCTCTCTCTCTCTCTCTTTCTCACTATTATGTTGATTTATTTTCTGTTATATTGGTTTAACCAAATCAAAGACAAACATTTGATGATTATATTATATGTATACTGTATTGAATTATATTGTATTGTACCTATAGTGTATTGATGAAAACAGTATTTTACAATTACAAATACAAATTAAATAATTAATTACTATGATTTCTATCAGTGATAAGAATGTATATATGTATAAGATTAATGTTGTCTAGAAATGTGAACATAATGAATGAAAGTATTTGATTCATTCCCAGAAGGAGTGGTTATTGAATGTCATATAGTATCTTTTGATATGAGAAATATATACCAGAGTTTAATAAGATTAGATGCTTAATAGACTATTGTAACAACATGACAGATACTTCAAAAATAATATTGAAAAGCGGTTGCATAAAAGAGAAGATAAGAATATCTATTTATTATTCCCTAATACTAACGTCATTATCATCATCGACATCACCATCAACAACAACATCATCGTTCTAATTATAAGCATTCCATATATATATATATATATATATATATATATATATATATATATATATATAATCCAAGAGAAGAAAGATATAAATAGATAAATTGATCATTCGAAAAAGCGATTATCATAAAATAGGTTAATCATGTGAAGATATAATAATTGATGAAGAAAAGATGGTTGGTGTAGATGGGGGAAGGGATAAGGAAATAAGGCGGACATCATTAAACAAAAAGAAACGTTCCCAGAAAAACAAAAGTCATATGTAACTAATGACTAACAATTATAAATCATAAATTAATTATATATTTATCAGAAGGGGTTTGGGGAGATTTTAGAAATTTCACAGATTAAAATCATGATTCAATTGAAGCTAGACCACCATGGAAAACCTGGAAGTACTGGACGGCCGTTTCGTCCTAGTATGGAACTCCTTAGCAGTGCGCACCCACAATCTCGCACCCCGCGAGATTCGAACCCAGGACCTATGATTTCAAATGGCTGTCTACTAAAAATTTATAATCTAGATAGGTGATTTCATTTGAAGTAAGTTTTTATTATTAACTGAAGTTAGTTAGAGAATTGAATGTTATTCAGATCACAATCCAATTTAAACTAGACACCTATTGAAAACTAAGAAGCATTGGACAGCTGTTTCATTATGGTAGGGAACTCTTCATAAGTGAGTATCCATGAATTCTCATCGAATTCAAGAATTCCACATCTTATAGTAAGAGTTTAACCTTCAGACTATTGAGTCGACATCCATTGATTTTCATGTCTGACTACAATCAATTCGCAATAGAGTGCAAACAGATGCACTTCTGAGCAGTACCAAACAGTTTCTCTGTGTTTTCTAGTTTTCAGTGATTATCTAATAGGTTTTTTACTGATCTCAATAGTTGGAGAATTACTGAAAGCCTAAAACACATTGATCTAGTCTGGATTTGATCACACACAAAATCAGCTATTAAACTTTTTTTTTCTTTTCATTAATTTTTTAAGCAATATCAGTTAATGATAAATATTTTATTCGAAAGATAAGTAAACTATGAAGAATTCTGTTGTTACAATATGGATTTAAATAGACTAGATCTGTTGCATTCTAATATGATATAACTTAGAAGTGGTTAATACCAATTGAAGAACAGTACATTAAACAATGATATCCAACCCCAATGTATATACAATACAATAATCAAAAATTAACTTGGATTTTTTTTTTTGAGTTTAACTCTGAAATCAGAAGGGATTTAACACAACTAAGAACTTCAAAATATAGATTGAAACAGTTTCGACTTTTTTATTACTAATAATCTCCGCTTACAACTGAAGAACATCTGCGACTTAGAATTTTCAATACAAATGTCAACACAGTTCTACTGTATGGGGCGGAAACTTTGAGAACTACGAAAACAATCATTCAGAAGATACAAGTGTTTAATAACAGTTGTCTACACAAAATACTTCAGATCCGTTGACCAGATACTATCAGCAACAACCTACTATTGGAAAGAACAAACCAGATCCTAGCGAAGAAAGAAATGAGGAAGAAGTGCTGGAAGTGGATAGGACAAACATTGAGGAAAGCACTCAACTACGTCATAAATCAAGCCCTTACTTGGAATCTTCAATGCCAAAGGAAAAGAGAAAGTCGGAAGAACACATTATGCCAAGAAACGGAGACAGATACGAGAAGAATGAACAATAATTGAATAGAACAAGAAAGGAAGGTCTAGGATAGATTGAGTCGGAGAATGCTAGTTGGCAACTAATGTTCCATTGGGAGTAACAGGTATAATTAAGTAATAATTCCCATTCATAGTAAAACATTCTGTTGGAAATTTTGTATTCATTAGAGCAAAACTTGACTGGGAAGTAAAATTTAAGAGAAAAACTAACACACTCTAAAGAATTTTCACAAATATCAAAATAAAATACAAGAGTTTATCAGTTGAATCCAATTAGTACACGGTAATGTTACTGTTTCTAATAAGAATGAAAATAATTCCATCAAGAGTACATTGTAATGTTGTAAGATATTCGGAGGACTATTACTTTTCTATATAATTCGTTTGTCACAAATTAAGAAATTATTATTTGTTATTATTATTTGAACACATAAATACTGGTACAAGAGAGCACCAAATATATGTGCACCACACTATATTTATGTGTGTGTGGGCTGTGATACTGACTGGGTGCCCAGACCAAAGCAGGCGGTTTTCTTAGGGGGCCACACCCCGAGCCTTGGACCTAAAGGTCTAACCCACAAGGTGGTGGAGCATCGTGAGATGCAGTCCCATGGTAGCCGGTGACCAACGATTGGTTCATACTCCATTTGTTCCCGGAGGATCCTGGAGTTCATGTGCACCATTGGTTTGGGATCCGGTTAAGGCGCCCGACATTCGCTTCTCGTCCACTCATTTTCGTAAACAACACCAGTGCAACGAGAAGGCAGTGAGCAGGACTTCCCTGACAGGGGCTGTATACGTGTGGCCGTGTGACAGCATTTCGAGAGAGAGGGAGGGCCAACCCCACTCTCGGCCACATCAGGACATTCGGGGACAATCATTTCTACGGTATACTATGAACTTAATCATACTTTATTGGTATCTTCTCTTAGCTATATATAAGCTAATATATTTAGCTGATTCATAATCATGATATATATGTAGACTTACTATGAAAATAATGACTAGATTATTTATAAAAGAAGTTTTTTAAAAACCAAATTGTCAAATAAATAAAATGTTTTAATGGATCTTTTAATCACTGAGTAAAATAACAAAGGGAGAAATGATTAAATTGCCTAATATGATAAGGAACATTAGAACTGAAACATTTCGAAAGTTATTTACATTACAAATAATGAAAATTATGAAGCAAAAGATGTGTTGTTTTCTATTATTGGAATACCTCAAAAGTATTTATACAAGGCTCTATACCAGATCTAAATAACATTCATCATGTTTCATAACTATGTCAATATCGTCAAGCCAAAATCTTAATGGTAAAATAAGTATTTACTTGGAAGAATTTTCTGAGGTTTCAAAACCATATTCAGACTTTTCGGTAAAATGTAAAACAAGTCAACAAACTAGTAAAGTTTCAATGATTGAAATCATGAGTCATTTGAAGCTAGATCACTACCATAGAAAACCTGGAAGCACTGGACATTCGTTTCGTCCTATTGTGGGACTCCTTAGCAGTGCGTATCCACGATAGTACAGATTTATATACAATTAGCCGTTGACTGAAGTTACATACAAATATCGAATGTAAAATTGTTTTTGATCATTTGAGACTATTACATGGTTTCTCAAGATTACAAATATTAAAACTTTAAGAAAAATATCACTTAATGCCTTTATTCACTCTGAAAAAGTAGCTTACATTAAGTCGCGAAACGTCAGGAATAGTTTTTTTTCTACTCATTAGGATATAACAAAAATTGTATTTAAATACCTGGTTGGAACTCTTTACGCAATACTACATTCGGTACTGTAATTGAAAATGAAAACGACCACCTAGAAAAAGCATAGAAATATCAACAAGTGATTTGTGACATATCAAATAGATAAGCAATAATAATGACACTTCAAAAAGACAGAAAACACTCTATCCTAACGATTATTGAGTCATTTATATAATGTCGATAGATTGTGGAGGTCATAATGATGAACTTATAGTAATTCGATAGACTGAACTGTTTAAATATGAGACATAGTAGGCAAGTTTGATTTAGTGTGCTATTTAATTCAATATTGTGAACCATCAACCGGAAAACAGATTGAACTGGCATTTATGATAGACCAAAGTATAAGCCGATAATTTAAGTGCTATCTTTTTAGAATTATCCGATGGACTAGACCGACCCATCGATTTTATAGTCTAAATCTTATTGGTTAGTGATCCTAGAGCTAATGTAATGTTGAATAATCCTCAAGGTTAATAAAATCATAAGACATAATTTCGGAATCATGTCTTTGAGTTAAACCGAACCTAATGTCCATTGCCATGAATAAATACCCAGCACCATATACTAATTGTTAATCGAATACTGATCAATATCATTATTTGTTTAGTCCTTGTGCTGAACACACTCTACTCACGAACTCTCAATATAGTCATCAGAATAAGTGACTCAGGACGTGATAGTTTTAATGTTACGTGATTGAGAATAACTCATAGTTCGGTACTGGTTAACATTAGCCAGTAAGGCTTGTCCGAAGTTTCTTAAGGACTAATGCTTCATGTGATATGAGAACCAAGGGCTCACATTGTTTCAACCAAAGATGCTACCATCCGGTTATTCTCCCAACATATCAGGTGCAATT